GGGGGGGGGGGGCGCTACATTCCACCCCCACCCCCCACTACTAATCCGCTTTACACAATCTCCATCAGTTGCTTCTTCGCGGCGGTGTGCACCTTGTGGTCGAGGCGGAAGAGTTTGTGGTTGCCCTCCATCGGCAGCGGAAAGGGCAGCGCCTTGGCCTCCGCGCAGATGAACATAAACGGCGAGGCCTCCTGCCGCTCATCTTCGCTGAATGTCTGCACGTACGTGTCGCGGTCCATGCAGTCGGTAATGTAGACGTACCCAAGCAGCACGCGTGTTGGGTAATGCTGCGGGAGCTTCTGCGTGGGCTTCATAAACTGGGCGTAGTGCTGCTCCACCTCCGCAACTTCGTGCGGCTGAGCGGACGCCGCGTGAATCCACAGGCGGCCGCGGTAGTCGGTGCTCCACGCGCGCCCCTCGTGCCGCTTCACGCCAGCCACAAGCAGTCCCGCCCACGGCTGGTGCATTGACAGGCAGACGCCGTCATCATTCATCCGCATCGTCGGCGTCGGTGCGAACCGATCAATCACGCCGGATGTAGCAGCAGCAGCTTCTATCGCGGCTCCTTTGTTTTCATCCTCGTCACCGCTAACCTTGTCGTCTACTGCTTCAAGTCCATCTGGCCCAATGCGGGCATACTCCCCCTGCCCTTCTCTCTGCGCTGTCATGAAGAACTGCAGGTCGTCCTCGTAGTAGTCCTGCTGCACACGCCGCGACACCTCTACCACGCGGTGCACCTTCGGCTTCCGCATCGCTTCTCCCACATTCGCAGCAGCAGCAGCAGCACCACCAGCAGTACCAATAAGACTTGCAGGAGTAGCAGTAGCTGTGGCTGCTGTGGAGACCGCATCGGTAGACCCATCCAGGCTGTACCATATCTTCTGCATCAACGTGGGCAGCGGCAGCGCACGTGTCTCCTCATCTTGTTCTTCGTCTTCGGCCGACACCTCTTCCTCCGCGTCGCACTTCGAAGCCGCGGAGGATGAGCTCCCGTGTGGCGTCGGCAGCATGTCCTGCCGCGAGAGTGATACGTTCTGCTTCATGATGTCCAGATGCACCATGTACGCCCCGGTCGCGCGGTGCATTGCGGCCACTTTGCGGCGCCGCTCCGCGAGCGCCTCGTCTTCGTCTGCCTGGTCGCGCTCCGCCACCGACATCCACGCATGCTTCGGCGACAGAAACACAGCAGCCTGGTCATCAATGACTTTGGTGCGCTTCGCACGTGTCTCGGCGTACTGTAGCAGTTCGTCACGCTTGGCAATGGTCGCCTCGTAATTATTGCGGTTCTTCTCCAGCGCGGCGGCACTCAAGAGGCCTTCCTGGACTTTAACTTCGTACGCTACACAGATGGACGGATCCAGGCCACAGCTGTAGCACATCTCGTCCGACTCCTGCTCGCAGATGATGCGCCCGCAGTTGGCACAGTTCCCGCGCAGATTGTGGCCCGTGGCGAAGCAGCCACACTCGAAGAGGCCGGGCTTCAACGCGGTCGCCCCTCCGCCAGCGGCCTTCGCCAGCGATGTGCCTTTCCTCTTCGAACCTTTCTTTCCGGCGACGTTGAGCTGACGTCCACCACCACCACCACCACCGCTTGTTCCTGTGACCGCCGCTGCTGCTGGTGATGTCTTTTTCGCTGCAGGTGTGTCGTCGAAGGGAGGCCCGTTGTCGTCACGGCGCCTCAAAACTTCTGCAGCGAGCACCTCGCCGCCCACGAGCGTCTGGCACCAGTCGTACACCTCGCGCCGCACACCGCACGTTGCGAGCATGTCCGCCATACCGTCCAGCTCCTCGCCGACAAGACCGAGGAGGTTGTTGTCCTCAATCTCCTTCCTGATGTAGTGCACAAGGGCATCCTTCTGCGCCTCCGCCGGGCTCCTCATTGGGGGGCGTCCCCATCGCTTAGCCGGCATCACACACACACGCACAGACACAGACAGACTCACTCGCTAGCACACTGACAGAAAACTATCATCCTTGCACGCAAATGTAGAAGAGAGGATCATACCGGATGATGTAGACGCCAGCGCGGGTCACCGTTGCAACCACAGACACGCATGCTCAATCCCAACAGAGTTGCACTCACACACACACACACACACACGCACACACCACAAACACGAGAAAAGGCAGATTAAATAATTCCTCACAGCTGAGAACTCTCCACTCTCTCAGAGTTCCAGCACCTCCGTGTTGGCGAAGTACGGCAGCATGAGAGCTTCCCGCCACGTGATCTTACGCCGCACCGCCTGCAGCATCTTTCCGATGTCACCATGGCACACAAGCAGCACGCGCTTCCCAGTGAACTCTGCATCTATACGCTGCAACAAACGGGCAGCACGGGCGTAGCAGTCGTCAAATGTCTCCGCCCCCTCTACAGAGAGGAAGTAGAGCACCTTGTCGCCCTGAAGAACATTGTCGCCGGCATATGTTGCGATCTCCGTGATAGGCTTCCCCGCCAGCACCCCAAAGTCGCGCTCGAGAAGATCATTGTCATTCGTGACAGCAACGCCGAGCGCAGCACCAATGATGCGTGCAGTCTCGTCTGCCCGCCGCAGCGGCGAGGCGAGAATGACGTCGTATGCAATGCCACTCTGCTGCAGCCGCTGTACCACAGCCGCCGCCTGCTGCCGTCCCAACTGCGTCAGCGGGAGGTCCCGGCGGCCGTTGAGAAGTCCATCACGGTTGTCTTCGTCCTGGCCGTGCCTGCAGAGGTGCACGACAGCTGCCATGGAGAGATATCTTTTCCTAAACAGCGGCATTAAAGAGAGAAGGCAGAGATTTTTTTTTTTGTAAAAGATAGGAAGAAAGAACAAGAGCGAAGGAACCATGCGCAATGCAGGACAAAGTCTTCCATTCACTGGGCGAGCACACACACACACAC